GGCGATAAAAATCGACTCCCTGAACATGGAGTGCTTAGTTTTCAGACTGAGCTCTGCTTTAGTCAAAGACGATCGGGCTACTTCACGCAGAACGGCACTGGCTATTACAGTTCGCCGGTCGATCTCTTCCTCCAATTTTCCGTCACTAGTAAATACAGTTCCGACATACTTGAACTACTTCACCTACTCGACTGCCTTTCCGTTAATCTGAAGAGAGAAACCGGCAGGAGAACGAGAACGCACCAGGTTTTTCGTTTTAGATGCGTTCACGCGAATGCCGGTCACGTCGCATTCGGCTGCGAACCTTTCTGAGGAGTACTGGAGATCAGTTTCAGAAGATGCTAATAAAACAAGGTCGTCTGCAAACAGCAATCTTCTCGACTGCACATCTCCTACACCGATACCCTCATCGCCTAGACTGTTCCTTACTATTCTATCCAGGTACAACACGAACAGGAATAGGGGACATGATGCAGCCTTGGAGGAGACAAGTACGAACGTTGAATGGTTTCGACTTAACGCCATTAACTCTGACGCAGCACCTGCTATCAGAATACAGTGATTGGTTGGCCCTTAGCAGCTGGCCATCTATCCCGTCTGTACGAAGGCATGTACACGGACTGTTGCGTGGGATCCGATCATAGGCTTTTTCTAGGTCCACAGAACATATGTACACCGGATGGGCGTACTCCCGCGATTTCTCAGTAATCTGGCGCAGGGTAAATATATGGTCAGAGGTGCATCGACCGGGGCGGAAGCCATACTGCTCTTCTTGGATCTTGAAGTTAACTATTTCACGGCACCTCCTTTCTAGCACCTTTGTGTAGACTTTACTTGGGAAGCTCAATAACATAATGCCCCTATAATTGGGCCATTCCTTGTGGTCTCCCTTCTTGAACACGGGTACAGCAATTCCCGTTCTCCAGTCCGCTGGTGTCTTTGTGTAGTCATCGCAGTTTGACAGACATGTGTTAGCCAGCACATGCCTTGTTCGCCTAATGCCTTGAGCATTTCA